GTTCTGAATTAATGTATCCAATTTTTTTTATTTTTACATAAAGTCAAAATATCAAACTTTTTATGAAATTTCTGCAGCACCTCTCCTAAAGGTAGGATCTTTCGAAATCTCTTCAACAGAAAATCTATAACATATATCCAACAATATAGAGCTTTGCTACTCAACAGCAAATAATTAACATAACAAAAAGAGGCAGGACCCTAACTATAGTTAATGCGGAGCACTCTAAATTAGACTTCCAAAAGATACTATATAGGTTTTCAAATTTTACATGAATAAGATGATATTCTCAAAAGTAATCTTCTAGTCAATTCAACAATGAGCCCATCAGAGATCAGCAGGGAGTACAAAATCAGCTTTGATATCTGAGACTAAATAAAATATTTTTCAGTAAATAACGTCCCAACAATAAATAATTGAACATGATTAAAAAGAAAAGTTTGAGATAATTATGTAAGTCAAATAGATAATAATTTCCATAAAAATCTAATAAACTTCAAAATAAAATGACTCTATAAAATTTTAAATAAAATCTTAAATCGTTGAATTATCATAACAAATGTTTTTATCACTTGATTTTCAGAAAGCACATAAATAAAATAAATGGTTGTAAATAATTTACTAGATAAAAACCAATGGAATATAAAATTACCAAATAATCAAATTCACAAATTTTTAGGAACTTATCAGAACAATAAACAAATGTGGACATACAGTCCACGAGGGTAAATAATTGAACATGGCTTATGCCACGAATACAAACGTGGACACATAGTTCATGAGGGTAAGTAACCAAATACAGCCGAAGCTGCGAAACAAACATGGACACAGTCCACAAGAGTAATGCTAATCAAATGCGGCTTGAAAGTATGAAACAAACGTGAGTACAATGCTTACGAATAACCATCCCTTCGTTCCACATGCGTTGGCCATCGCACGAGGCTAACACCTTCTATAAACACCCTGCTAGCTAGGTGTACCATGGCGCACCAAAGGCTAACGAAAATGCCGTTAGCAACCAGCGTTTTATATAAAGTTCCTTTCAAATTCAATTTCAAACATACGAGAAATTGGTCATTATTCAATCAAATTTTTCTTTTCAATGTCGAACTCGCATGAATCATTTTTCTGTAGCAATTCAATAATTTTCAGAATGAAATCCCACAATTAGAATTCAAACTTGTATTTACTGATTAACTCAAATGATCAATTCTAGTAAAATAATTTCACGAAATAAAGTAATTTAATCAACAAAATATCTCATAATCACATTGTTGTTGTAAAAAAAATTTACATAAGAATATAATATTCTAATAAAGAAAATTTTATTGAAATATCAGTTGGGATGCTATCCACTTACCTAATGTGCTCCCACGTAATGCTACTTATTTTAAATGGGCCTCTTTCATGAAACTTTTACTCTAAGATTCCCAGTGGGTCAAATATTCTGCAATCATGAACTGAATTTATCACGTCCAGTAGAGCAATGATGAAGAAGAAAGATTCTATGCTTCTCCCAGCTACACACATTCAGCGGTGGCATTTGAACTAGGACGAAGAAGAAGAAGAGTAGCGACGTTACAGGGGAAAGTGGAAAGACAACAAATCAAACATTTCGCACCCATGAACCAGTTCCCACAACACAAAATGACAGAACTTGCTACACGACTCTAATAGGGGAGAAGAAAGAAAAGTCGGTGATAGAGAGCAGAGGGAAGAGCGATGCAAACAAAGGAGGAAAATTAGAGAATCCAGTAACCCAGTCCGTTGTAGCCAATGAACGTGGACTGAAAGGAGAGCGACGGACGAGCTGACGGCGATGGGAGGGAAACATGCGATAGGGAATAAGAGAAAGGCGGTGAAGAACAATCACGATCCTCTCCTTGTGAAGTCGGCCGAATGACAAAGAACAAGAAGAGAAAATATAATCTAAAGCTTATGGGAAAAATTATAGAAAAAGACCCCATCAGATTTTATTATTATTATAATATTTTTATAGCAAGAGACAAATGCACATTCAATAATTTCCCATAAAGATAAAATAAAACTAACATTTAATTTAAGTAACATTTAAACTCTAGACTTTCATATAAATAACTAATATAAATTCAATCAGGCCACTACTCCTTATTTGTCATAAAACTAAAATATTAATTTAGAAAGAATTTATTTAATTTAAAATTTAAGATCATTGTACTCTTACTAGATCAATATTTCTTCTTTCTTTCTTTGTTTTTTTTAAATTCATACAAATACAATTAAAACTCATCATTATATATATTTAAAATTTTACTTAAATTCATGGGTTATTACATTTTCCATACAATAGGACATTTTTGGGGCCATTCATACTTTGGGTGAGACAACCCCAACTCTAGGGCAACATGCTAGCAGTGCAAATTCTACCAAGCAACTAGATCCAAATGGTGGTGAAAAATAACTATTCATTCCTCAGTTTTTCCTTTATGTTATATGTATGAAATACTTTTAGAACTCTTATTGAATTTATTACTCTACTATATGATAATATTGTATGACTTTTAATATGTGGTTAACATATTAAACCATTATGTTATGACTTTTTATACATGATTAACAGATTGAACCATTTATGTTATATTGTGTACTTTAAATTTTATTTTCTAATCAATTGCTTGTTTGAACAGGATTTATTTATGATGAAAATTTTAATTCTTACAAAACAAATGTAAAATTTAGCAAGGAATTAATTCCTCTCCAATTAAACCGATTTGAGAGGAATTGGTGAGGAATTAATTCCTCTCCAATTAGCGAGGACAGAGTTCCTCGCCAAAAGTCCTAGCAAAAAATAGGATTAGCGAGGAATTAACAAGGCATTTTATTTTCTCACTAAATTTGGAGAAGAAATAATGTCCTCACTAATTTCTATCTAATTAATGAGAAATAAATTATGCCTTACTAAATATTAGCAACTTGTCATTTAACTACGAATTTAGCAAGAAAATTATTTTCTCGCTAAATTGTTATTAGTGAGGAATATATCTGATTTAGTGAGGAATATGGTCCTCACTAAATCCTGATTTTCTTGTAGTGTTGGTTTAGGTCTAAAATGAAGGTATCCTTGATCTTTTACGTGTTTACAAGGCATGTGCATTGTGGTTGAGTTAACGAGCAATTTTTTCTTTGTTTTTACATTAAGGGGCAATATTGTCATTTGATTGTGAAATTTAATATCAAATTGGTGCCACTAGCTTGTAGAGTTGCAATGATATATCAATATTTTTAAATTTTTTTTTATTAAGTATGGTCAGAGGATTCTTAATAAAATTTCCCTTTTTTTATTTCATGTTTTCACTTGGTAAAGAACAGTAATTTCAAAGGAATTTACAAAAAAATAAAATTACTTACCTAGACCCCACGCATCCCGTTCTAGGTATGACGAATCAGATTCCCGTTACCAAATTGGCAATTAGTTGGTTTGATAATTTGATTCTGGGAACTTAATTAATAACTAAATAATTTTAATTGGATGAACATGCGCGGTCCTGATCTTGTCTCGATACTCGTGAATCACCCTCCTACACTTCCCTAATTATAAAATAATTTTTTAAGAGATTTTAGCATATAAAAATATAAAATATTTAAATAAAAATAACATTTTATAATAAAATAATATTTAAATCACCCTCCTACACTTCCCTAATTATAAAATAATTTTTTGAGAGATTTATCAAATAAAAATATAAGATATTTAAATAACAATAATATTTTATCAATAATAATTTTTAAATATTACACTTTTCTTTATATTCTCTCTTCAAATTGCTTCCCTTCTGATGCTCCTTTAGTTAAAATAAATGATCAATTTTAATGATCATTCACGTTCATAGAGGAGGGAAATCGTGTGCATAAAGGAAAAGGGTGTTCCTTTTTTTTTTTTTTTTACTTTAACTTTCCATTTCCCTCCTTATGTTTCTTTTTTATCATTTGTCAGATCAAATTTGTTCAACAGTCCAGAGTTAATTTTTCATAAATTTATTATTATAATTTTGCATAAAATATATAAATAAGATATTATAATTGTAAATTATTTAGATTAAACTCAAATTTATTTATATATTTTTATCTAAAATTAGAATAATAATTTTCTCAAATATAAAATCAGAACTATTTAACCTGTGAGGGTAAAGAAAACGACAAGCCTTACCCTACGGAAAAGGGTTTTGAAAATGAAAATAAATTATCTTATCCGTTAACCTTTACAATTCACCCGCGTTATCTGTCTTGGCTGTCATGGGAACCACTTTCTCAGAAAACAAAGTCAAAAGAGCCTCTAATTTCATGTAAACGTTCGTCGTCTTCTTTCCTTCTTCTCTCTACCTCCGAGGATCTCAAACTGCAGCTTCTCAACTTTTTTCTACCTGATGGCTTCATGGTATATATCGTAGTTTTTCTGCAAAATGTCTTCATTTCATTATTTTTTTTAAAAAAAAATATCTTTCATCTTCTTCATTTCTATCTTCTCTCTCGTCCTTTCCATCTGGTTCTATTTTTTCTAGATCCCTTCTTTTAAACCGGCCAAACCGGTTAAGCTGTCGATTCTTCCGTATTTTCGAGTCCGTTGACCGGTTAACCAGTTGAAAAATTGGATGACATGAAAACATCCTTTTATTTAATTAATTAATCGTTGATGATATTCACATCACACTCTTCCAAACCGCCAAGGCTAAAACTGTGTCTCCAGTTTTCACTGGTCAATGTGACCAGTTTTCTGCTCGGAGCCGTGGTATTTTATTTTTTAATTATTTTTTCCCAGATATGCCACGCTAAAAAAATTGTTTGATAAAAAGAGACAAGGGGTGAAGGAGACACAGGATCTAAAAACAACAGAGCATAACCTCGAGTTGAAACCAGGGAAGCCTACGTTACAGAAACCACCTTGGAATTTCCTTATTGGCTTTCAAATCCTTTAAACCAAAAAACAAATCTCAAATTCAGCTTGTGATTCTCTGTGGGCAGCCAAGTGGGCATGTCTTCTCCGATTATATATAGCTTTCTCCGAGCTCTGCTTTCCCACATCTCAACAACTTTCAACAATTTCTCACTATCATCGTCGTCCTTCATACTCAGTGCTCAGAAACTATCATGTCTAGCACGGCTGGTCAAGTTATCAAGTGCAAAGGTCAGCCTTCATGATTAATCTCTTCTCTCCTCTGTCTTTCTCTATCTTCTTCACACATAAAATTTCTTCTCTCTTCTCAATTCTGTATTGATCGTTTTGTGTGGAATTGTGAAATGTAGCTGCGGTGGCTTGGGAACCAGGGAAGCCACTGTCGATCGAAGAGGTAGAGGTGGCGCCGCCGCAGGCCGGAGAAGTGCGTCTCAAGATTCTCTTCACAGCCCTTTGCCATACTGATGTTTACTTTTGGGAAGCCAAGGTAATTCTTTCATTACCCATCTTCTTCCATTTGTTGAATCTCAATCTTACTATTATTATAATTTTTCTCCTATGATAGGGACAAACTCCATTGTTTCCTCGTATATTTGGCCATGAAGCCGGAGGGTATGTTCCTTCCTTTTTTCCCCTTCCAATTCTGATCTATTTCACATTGGTTATAAATTCATTTGGCTTACATGAAACTAATATACATGTGGCTGATGATGATACTGTTTAATTCAGGATTGTGGAGAGTGTAGGAGAGGGAGTGACTCATCTGAAACCAGGAGATCAGGCTCTTCCAGTATTCACAGGGGAGTGTGGAGAGTGTCCACACTGTAAATCAGAAGAAAGCAACATGTGTGACCTTCTAAGGATCAACACGGACAGGGGAGTAATGATCAACGATGGCAAGTCCAGATTCTCTAAGAACGGACAACCAATATATCATTTTGTGGGGACTTCCACATTCAGCGAGTACACTGTTGTGCATGCTGGATGTGTCGCTAAGATTAACCCTGCTGCTCCTCTTGACAAAGTTTGCATTCTTAGCTGTGGAATCTGCACAGGTTTTCCCTTAGTTCAACATTATGCATATATATTCTTGTTGGATGATTGTTTTCTGATAATTGCTTCCTTCATTTTTGTAGGATTTGGTGCTACTGTAAATGTTGCAAAACCAAAACCTGGTTCCTCTGTTGCCATTTTTGGACTAGGAGCTGTTGGCCTTTCTGTATGTTTGTAGCCCTTTGAGGTTCAGTTTTTTTAGCAGTTCTTAACGAAATGACTGTATTATGTCCTGATCATATTTCCTAATCTAAATTTTAGGCTGCTGAAGGGGCAAGGGTTTCTGGGGCATCCAGAATTATTGGAGTTGATTTAGTTTCCAGCCGTTTTGAGAAAGGTACTATGTTCATATTTTCATAAAATACTCTGTGCATCTAATTAAACCCCAATATGTGCGTGCGTGTATTGATGGTAGTTTATGTTTTTATTGTTATCGACAGCCAAGAAGTTTGGAGTTAATGAGTTTGTGAACCCAAAAGACCATGACAAACCTGTACAAGAGGTTAGTGAATACACACATAAAAGTGGTTGATTGATTGATAAATATAGCCACTTATCTCATCATAGTAACATGGTTTTAGCTGTTAACACTTAACAGGTAATAGCGGAAATGACAAATGGAGGTGTGGATCGTGCGGTTGAGTGCACTGGGAGCATCCAGGCTATGATCTCAGCATTCGAATGTGTCCACGATGTACGTATTAGAAATTCACATGCTTTCTAACTCTGCTAAAATGTCATCAGAGAGTAGAATTATAGGTTACCAGCGAAGCCATAGCTAACGATATGAATGGTTATGGGTGTGCAGGGATGGGGTGTGGCTGTGCTGGTTGGAGTGCCGAACAAGGATGATTCATTCAAGACCCATCCAGTGAATTTCCTGAACGAAAAGACTCTGAAAGGCACATTCTATGGCAATTATAAGCCTCGTTCTGATCTGCCTTCTGTGGTGGAGATGTACATGAAAGGGGTAAGCCTACTTGTGGAATGAAATGTGGCTGTGATTTTGTGTAAATTCTTAGTCATGTTAGTGATGGGTGGGATCTTATGATGAAATTGCAGGAGTTGGATTTGGAGAAGTTCATCACTCATTCAGTCCCTTTATCAGAGATCAACAAAGCCTTTGACTACATGCTCAAAGGAGAGTCCATCAGGTGCATCATTCGCATGGAAGACTAGAACAATGTGAAATAGTGTGCGGTGTCAGGATTCAAAGTGTTATTTGTGATTGTGAAAAAGGAAGAATGAAGTTTTGTATACAGCCAATCCTCATCGTATTTTATTAATTGTGAGTGTCAGCATTGTGAGTGTTATTAATTGTTGAACGTGATCTCTTAATTAATAATATTTCTAAAAGCTTAATAAATGATAGAGCACAATGGCGTCTTGCAATCCATGTAGCTGACCCCACCTAGTGGGATAAAGGCTTGTTATTATTGTTGTTGTTGTTGAGTGTCACATTGTAATGAACTATAGAATGTTTGTTACTTGAAATTAAATTTTGGCGTCTGTGGCATCCAACACACATGAATGTGATATGGTAGTATTTGTTTTATAATTTTGTTTACACATCTTAAACTTTGATTGGAGGATGTTTGGACATTCGTGGCTAGGAGCCTGTGAGTATTGGCCTCTGATTGAAAAACATATACCGGTTTTAAATTAACAATAGTGAGAGGGACTAGTATTTTTTTTTTTTTTGTGCTAAATCAAGTTCAAATTCATGTTGCGAGAGGCGTCTATATTAAGTGCTCGACTTAATAAATTGCTTAAAATATTTTAAATTTTAATTTGATTAAATGATACGTTTTGAATTTTAATAAAATTGAATTATTTTTGCTCAAAAAAAAAGAATTCTTTCTCATGACAGCTAATATTATAGAGATAAAAGGCCTAATTATTTAAGATTCAAAAAAATAAGTTCTTTTTAAGTAATATATTTATTTTGTTGAGATTTTGGAAAGATTAGAAATTAGTTCATGTTTGGTTAGAAATTGTTTTGCAACTTATCTGGATAAAATGATGTAAAAATGTTTTTTTTTAAATTACAGTTATCAGCATTTTGTTAAATTACATCACTAAAATCAAGCCAAAATTAGACATCGCCTACGGCCAAAAAATGTAACGAGAATTATAATTAGATTCAAAAAGATTGAATTAATGATAGTTAAATTTCTGATAAAATTTTTTGAAAAATGAGATATAAATATCAATTAACATAGTTATAAATAAAAATTTCTGTAACAATTTAAAAATTACATTTCATACTTAAACTTAAATACTTATTTCTAGTTGAATGATTCTTGAATTTGTAATTATTTAGAATGATATTTTTAATTTATTTTTTAAAAATATTTTATTTTTGACTTAATAAACTGTCATTAATTCAATCTTTTGGATCTTAACTATCATTCTTTCAAAAATATTTGAATGCAAAAGGAGGGGATGGAGATCAATTGGAAAGCAAGTTGGTTGTAGATCACCAAGGAATCCAGCGAAAATGTAAGAATCAAGATTTCAACATTCATATTAAAACAGATGAAGAGCCGATGAAGCTTTTTAGCCACTAGACATTCATGAAAGAAAGAAACCAAGGATAGCAATTACTTTTAGCATTTTTACCGAAACTAAAATAAAAAATTAAATCTCATTAATTTTGTCTAAAAATTTAATAATTTTTTAATTTTATTTCTATTAAATATACATACTTTAATAATAAAATAATCTAACATTTAACAACCTTGTTAACATTTAATAAAAGAAAAATAATAAATATGAATACAATATTTAATGAGGTATCATATAACTAATATAAAAATAAATACTCTATTTATCCTATAAATAGGACGAGGAGTAGAAACCTAGAAGTTCATTAAAGAAATAATTTATGACTAATTAAACGTGTTATTTAGTTCAACAAGGAAAAATTGTATTCCTACTCATTGGCATATTTTGCTACATGCAGGCTGATTATGTCTATTTGGCACTACCCTTCCCCCCCGGGTGATTAACGAGTAAAAATATTTATGATTTTTTTTAAAAAAATTATGAGTATCTTGATAGTAATGTTGCTTTGGAAGTACTAAAAGTGGCTAACCCATCTCTAACGTTTGACTAATCATGGGAGTGAGAGAGAGTATCAGTGGAGGAAGAAGAGGGAGAAGCAGAGTCTCAAGAGGAATCTTGTCTTGAGGAATGTTGAAAACATGGTGGAGTGTGATTTATATTTGGGATCTAGGTTTCAATTCCTACTTTTATTTGAGTTGGGGTAGTGATTAATGAAGCCTCCTCACTTTCCTTCTCAACATCACCAAATCTAAGACACATGCAATTTATTTCATGGATTTGGGTTTCAATTCCCTCTCCTCTTCTATCGGGATTCCCATGATTCAATCAATTTTTGTTGGGTTATGGTGAACGATAAGGATTCAAGTTAGTTCTTGGTGTTATCAAGGGTCCGGATAGGTTTGAAGAGAGAGTTTGCATTTTCTATGTAGGCGTAATTCGAGATCTGTGGATCTTTAGGATCCATACTAGCAAAAACAAAAATGGGGTTTAAGATAGTCCTATCAACAAGAGGTCCAAGAAATTCGGTTCCTCTAGGGTTCAGAGAGATGAGTAGAATTGCGCAAGGCCTAGAGGATTGATGTTGTCAAACCCATTGTTTTGGAAGAGGTCAAGGGAAAGCAAGTAAAGGCTGTAAAATTAAAAACACAAAATTAGAGGAGGTAAAATTATTTTTGAGCTTTGATAGAGTTGATGATAGCATTTTGGTGAAATGTTATTAGGGAATAAATGGGAAAAATTGCAATCGTCGCACTAGCCAATAGGATGATATTAAACCCCCATTCTTTGTAAATCCAACTTCCATTAACTTCTCTCTCTTTCTCCCTCTAACATGATGCTCTTGTTTCCTACTTCCTCTATGTAACCTCCAAATAAGAAGATCACTATTAAGCCGTTCTCTTTTGCCTCTGAATATGCTCCATCTTACCGTATCTCTTAGAAACAGGGGCTACGGCTACTATGAATATAAATTCATCCTTCGATGGATTCTGGATTCTTCTAGCATTATTTGCTATTGTGGATTCTTAATGAGTTGGTCTTAAAGGCCTTTCAATCCGTTTTTGGATTCAATGTTTCCAGACGAGAAGCAAGGGTTCACAATTAGTCAAGGACAAGAATGATGGCAAATCTTCAGAGGTTATTTTTTTCCATTAGCCAACATTAGTAAGAAGTTAGAAAAAGGTAATATTGTTTCACTTTTAACACTTCAGAACCACAATTCTAGAGTAAAAATATTTAGGGAGAATTATATTAAATTCTTGCATAATGAAATTAATTATTATAAAGTTCATTGATAGTTGAATTAAACTGTATTGACAATTAATTATGTTATTAATGCAATTTTCATAGTAATTAATTTACTTGTGTGGGGCTTGATTGTAATTCTTTCAAATATTTATAACTTTTTTCTTAACCTTTTTTTTTTCACAATTTGACTTGACATTGTGCCATGACTTTTTTTAATATAATAAACTCTCACTATTTTTTAATCTATATTTTAAAATACATTAAACAAACACATTAAATATATAATTAATACATCATATGTTTTACAAGTCTTTAATTTATGTTCAATGTTAATATAATTTTAAATGTATAAATTTTTATTTGTCAGAATAAAAAAAAACTAATGTAAATAAATTTTAGTTTTTAGATAATAAATTCATTTTAGTACAGAGTAATGGTCGGATGACTATGTTTAATTTTAAATTATGTATATATTAAAATAAAGAATAAAATTGTCATAAAATAAATAGGATAAAAAAGCAAATTAACCCCTGCAAAAATAATGAGCTAGAGAGAAAGAAAGAGACTTTTGTTCATGAGTTGATATAGTGAGTGGCTTGTCTGAATATATTTATAGGAGACAAAAAAGAAAAGACAGAGGGAAATGAAAGATAATGTGAAAGCAAATAAAGCCAACATAGCAGAATGTAGTATATGTAGATTAAATTAATTATAACTTAATGTGCTTGACATCTTTATTAATAAATTTTATGTATCATGTTGACATGATGGGTTTATTTAGGATTAAAGTAGATTTCGAGGCACATTTTCAAAAATATAGGTAATGGTAATATTATTCATATGGCTTCCTATAATATATATATATATATATATATATTTTATGTTAAATGAATCAAAATTACTCAAAAAAATGGATTAATTCTAGAATAGATGATATAAGAATGAAGAATATTGCCATTCGTTATCTGTTATATATAAAAGATAAACACAGCCACTTGCATTTTAATGACGTACTTTTATTCCTAGAACTAGAAAGTAGCCATGTCAAGACTTCTTGTGTTGGCACTTGGCAGCATCTTTATAATGTCTTGCTGTGGGAGCTTGTGATGTTAACTATATGTATAATTTATGTAACCAAGAAATTAGTTTAATAATTAATCCTTGATGATATTTAGCTCACGCTCTTCCAAACCGCAAACGTTGAACGCCTGAACCTGTTTCTCGTTTTCACTGGCCAACGCGACCAGTTTTCTCATGGCCGTGGTATTTAATTTTTAATTATTTTTCTCAGATGCCACACTAAAAAAGTCTGTTTAATGAAAAGAGGCTAGGGATTAAAAAGACAGAGGATCTAAAAATAACAAAGCATAACCTCGAGTTGAAACCATCGTTGAAGAAACTCCTTTTGAAATTTCCTTGTAGCTCCTATTAGACGATGCTGCAAAACCAGTGTTATTATTGCCTTCCAAACCCTTTAAACCAAAAACCAAATCTCAAATTCAGTTAGTGGTTCTCTATGGGCGACCAAGTGGGCATGTCTTCCCCAAGTATATATAGCTTTTGCCAGGCTCTGGTTTCCCCCACATCCCAACAACTTTCAACAATTTCTCATTGCCATTGTCGTCCTTCATACTCAGTGCTCAGAAACTGCCATGTCTAGCACGACTGGTCAAGTTATCAAGTGCAGAGGTCAGCCTTCATACTTAATCTCTCCTCTCCTCTGTCTTTCTCTATCTTCTTCACACATAAAATTTCTTCTCTATTCTCAATTCTGTATTGCATCTTGATATAAGTGTCCGATTATACTGATTGTTTTGTGTGAAATTGGTGAAATGTAGCTGCAGTGGCTTGGGAACCAGGGTAGCCACTGTCAATCGAAGAGGTAGGATTGGCGCCACTGCAGGCCGGAGAACTGCATCTCAAGATTCTCTTCACAGCCCTTTGTCATGCTGATGTTTACTTTTGGGAAGCTAAGGTAATTCTTTCAGTACCCATCTTCTTCCATTGTTGAATCTGAATCTTACTATTATTATAATTTTTCTACTATGATAGGGACAAAAACCATTGTTTCCTCGTATATTTGGCCATGAAGCCGGAGGGTATGTTCCTTCCTTTCCCTTCAATTCTCATCTATTTCACGTTGGTTAAAAATTCCTTTAGCTTACATAAAACTAATACACATGTGGATGGTGATATTATTTAATTCAGGATTGTGGAGAGTGTAGGGGAGGGAGTGACTCATTTGAAACCAGGAGATCAGGCTCTTCCAGTATTCATAGGGCAGTGTCCATACTGAAAATTGAAAGAAAGCAACATGTGGGACCTTCTAAGGATCAACATGGACAAGGGTGTAATGATCAATGACGGCAAGTCCAGATTCTCTAAGAACGGACAGCCAATATATCATTTTGTGGGGACTTCCACATTCAGTGAGTACACTATCGTGCATGCTGGATGTGTCGCTAAGATTAACCCTGCTGCTCCTCTTGACAAAGTTTGCATTCTCAGTTGTGGAATCTGCGCATGTTTTCCCTTTCTTCAACATTATGCATATGTTCTTGTTGGATGAAGCAGCAAATAGCAATACCATTTTCTGGTTGCGTCCTTTATTTTTGCAGGATTTAGTGCTACAGTAAACGTTGCAAAACCAAAACCTGGTTCCTCTGTTGCCATTTTTGGACTGGGAGCTGTTGGCCTTTCTATATGTTTGCAGCCAGGTCAGTTTTTTTAGCAGTTCATAAGGAAATGACTCTATTATGTTCTAATCATATTTCCCAATCTAAATTTCCACCTGTTTTGAGAAAGGTATTGTATTCATATTTTCATAAAACACTGCATCTAATAAAACCCCAATACGTGTGTGCGTGTGTTGATGGTAGTTTATGTTTTCATTATTATTGACAGCCAAGAAGTTTGGAGTTAATGAGTTTGTGAAACCAAAAGACTGTGACAAACCTGTACAAGAGGTTAGTGAATACGCAGATAAAAGAGGTTGATTGATTGATAAATGCAACCACCTATCTCATCATAATAACATGGTTTTAGTGGTTAACACTTAACAGGGATTGCTGTCCATGCTTCAGGGAAAACCTATACAACAGAAATCAAATCTCTCAAGGCTGTAGATTATTGCTAGGCAAAATACTAACAGTCACTAAGAGCAACAAACACCCATATAGAACTCTACTATTGAACCATTCCTCTTTTTTTTTTCTTTTTCTTTTTTTAACAATCAAAATCAGCTGCAAGTTAATTCTAACTTATAGTTGGGTTTAGATCCAGAAGATTGGAAAAAATTTGTCATTTTTGTAGCAGAGAACTAGTCAGATCTAGAAAACACCTGAATTGTGTAAACAATGAAGATTAATAATGAAGTTAACAAATATGTCATTTTTTTTATTCAAAATCTGAACTGAAGGAAGCAAAAGAAACATTAATCTCTTGCCTGGTTTATTGGTGCCACTTTATAGGACCTGTTGCAAGGCCTTTGGAATCAGAATAGTATAAAGAGCTATGTGCCTTTGCCATAATGATTCATTAACAAAGCTGGCACTTGCAATCCCACCAAACAAGAACCTTGCACTTGCAAAAATATAGCAGTTTGTTTGCATCCTAGTCCAACGAAACTAGAAAAAGAAGAATGCCAACATGAATATTGCATCACATTGACTATAATATGATTGATCTGTGAAATGCTCTTTAGTTTGTTCTAGAACTAGACTATAATTCTAAATTCTAGACTTCAAAATAATTTAAAATTTCATATTATGAAAACTATCTGATAAATCTTGCTTACCATGTGTATTTTAAATCCAAATAAATATTCAGATTGTTACAAAAACTTTTAAAGGATAAAATATAAATTATTCAGTAATAAGGTCATGAAAGTAGTTATAGCCGATAACATGTTTTGTAAAACATCATTATTTCCAACATGATTTGAAGTTCTCACATCAACATTAAGAAGTTACAATCTGGTTGAGTTTCTGCTTGAAGGTAAACACAATAAAATCTCCACACACACACACGCACGCAATCCTAGGTCGTAAAAAACATTTAAAAGACACTGAAAAATTCAATTTGCGTGCATTATCACTGAACATGCAACCAATTTGCGTGTATTATCACTGAACACGTAACAATAACCTAAGGAAATGAAGTTATAATTTAGACCTTTGCATATGAAAAATGAAATAATTCAGATGGAAAAATAAATGGGTTAGAAAATTGCTACAAAAACTAAAGCAGGTGAAAAAAAAAATTAAATGGACAAAGAGGCATCACTGTATAAATAAACAGGAAAGCAATGAGTATAAGTCAAATGTCAGTTGAGAAGATCTCCATATCAATGAAATGATGTAGTGGAGAGAGAAAGGGAAAAAACATTAATAAATGATGTAGTGGAGGAAAATGAAAAGGAATAAAGGTTCAATGAACGAAATGCAAGACACATTAGCATTGGTGTTAAAATGATAAATAAGAGCTCTGGAAGAAAATGAATAAAAAAGCCTCAGGATAGAAATATTAGCTTATATGAGTTCATGTCCATGATTTTCATTAAATGTGAAAAAGTACAAGAATATCAATTATGATGGGGAATGCAAGTCAAAACTTGTTACAACTTGGCAAACGTAAAAGATGTACTCTTCATAGCTGATATGAGAATTGTAAGTGCACTTGAATAACAGCTATATAACTGAATATCGTTACTAATTAACTCTCACTTATTTCTATAAGGAGTTAGTTCATTAGTAGGAAGAAACATTAATTGAAGTTAGTCATTAATTCTTCTGTTCTCTCTCCTTTCTCTATTCTGTATTAGTTACCTAGACTTACTCACATCAAGGTCTTCAAGCACTTGCTGGCATTACACTTACTTTTCCTTAGAGTTGCTACAAAACCTGCAAGTTTTGGTAATGTAAAATCACCTACATGCTATATTATAAAGTTAAAGAAAGAAGTTAATATATAGAAAATAAAACAGAGGGCAAGGTAACTTCTACTCAACTAGAGCTCAATATTCTGACATGCAAATACTAGTCACTTGCTAAGAGGAACAAATGCTCAGAGAAATAGGGTGTGAAAATAAAGTATCTGTAAGTGAAAATGTAAGTGCAATCTATTATGAATGTCAGACACAGATATGAATCCAATATTGAAATAAGTGTACTTCATATGTACCTTATGTTTGTTCAAATTTGAAATTTCAGTTAGTAATATCTCATATGTTAATATATGTGCATAATCTAAAATATCTACAGAGCTTTAGACATCCTCTTAACCATTATCTAGTCAACTCAATGGTTAAGAGTCTACTTTTTACTATCAAAATTAACTAAAGTTAATTCTAATTTGCAGTTCAGGTTAGAAAGCCTAAGGTTATTCTCAATAGCAGAGAAATGTTTAGATCCAAAAGACACCTTAGCAGAGCAAACATAATGAAGATTAATAACATAAAGTCAATGAATATTTTGGTTCTATATTTAGAATCTCAACTGAAGAAAGCAAAAGCAACATTGATTTCTAATCCCTCTTGATAGACCTTCCATTTCATACTTGGTTGGCTAATGCTTGCCTCTCATAAAAACCATCGGGCAGAGAGAACGGGTTGTCAGCCCTTCAATTGAAATCAAGCAGAAGTTCGACGAACATGAACCATGCACGTGTAATAACATAGCAGTCTGCTTGCATTCTGGTCCATGGAAATTAGAAAAAGTAAGACTACCCAAACATAAATACCATATTAAGTATAATTTGATTCACATGTGAAATGCTCATATGTTTCTACCAGAAATGGATTATGATTCTAAATTCTAGAGTTAATTGAAATGTCCATAGTATGAATGTGAATCTCATTAAGTTATGTATAATGATCCAAAATTTTAAAATTTAATAAATTTTCTCCCACTTAATATTTAATTTATTTATTTTAATTTAAGGACAAATGAAGAGTAGTAGCTTAATAGAATTTATAATAGACATTTATATAGAGATTTAGAGTTTAAAAATCTTACTTAAATCAAATATTAGTTTTATTTATTTATTTATTTTTACATGGAGTTTACCTTTTATTATAAAATATATTAATAATAATAATGACAATAAAATCTGATGGGGTCATTGTTTGTAATTTTTCCACCAACTTTTATATTTTATTTTCTTCCTTCTCCTTTTGTCGGCGAGCTACGAAGCAGAGCAGGGAGAGAGAGAGCTTGCGTGATTCTCTAGTTTTCTTCTTCCTCCTCATCGTTCACTCCTCCGTCTTCTTCCTTCTCTATCCATCGCTTATCACTAGCGTTAGTGCTCAGGATTGCCGTGTTCCACCACTGCTCTACCAATTATTATCCAAACAGAGGCCATTCATCCTCCCCTGCCCTGTGCTCGCTGTGAACTTGCTATTTTTGACAAATAAGTCGCGAGTTCGTCCCTCTTGGTTTTGTTGGTTCTTTTCTAGTTCTGCCTCAGATTGGTGATGCTCCTTTTCTATTCTCAGTTCTTGCTGTAGCATGGGTGCTCGAAACTTTTCTCCTTCCTTGCGTCGCTGTCGCTCTCACTGTTCGGTGTGGCTGTGGGTGCTATATTTTGTTCGCGATCTTCCTCCTTCTCTATTTCTGTTGACTAATTCTTTCTTTTTACTTTCTCTATCATTGTTGATTCAGGGCAGAAGCTTAGAATTCTTCTCCTCCTTGAATTCCCTGCGTGCGTGTGTTTTAGTGGTTGAGGTTGTAATTTGTTCCTCTTTGCTGAATCTGTGTGTGTGTGAGAAGTGATTAGTGTGAAATTTCCACTTCTTTCCCGTTCAATGTGCTGTGTGAATTTATTTGACAATAGCTATAGTGCGATTTAAGCAAGTTAGAATTTTAGTCCATTGAAAAAGTAATATGGGCTTGAGTTGTATCTAAATTAGATTGATTTTATAGAAGGAACGAACTTGGGATGTTGGAACAAGTAATGTATTGATGCTGTACAAGTGTTTGAAGGAATTGTGGGATAGGATATGAAGAAAGAACTTAATATTAAAAATTTGAATCGTGGTGCCTATAATATGTTCGAGTAAATGTTTGTTAGGAAGGAGTTGCTTGATTTTGGATTTTCAAAAATTCATTAAATTTTTTGGGAGACATAATTGACTTGAATGTTATTATTTTGTGAATTGAGCTTACTATTATGTAGAAATTGGCTTGTGAAACTTTTCGTGAACTATTTGAATTCTTGAAAATTATATAATTATTAGTAAATTGTTAGATAGAGATGGAAGTTTAGAAAATTTTAATCGAATAGTTGGAAATAATGCACTTAAAGTGTTTGATGTAAAGCCTAAGAGAAAATTATATTTCAAGTAAATAGGTTGGCATGTCGGAAGAAATATAGAAGAAATTGGTGATATAAATGATAATATTTTGGCAAACTCTAAAACATGAATTTTGATCTTGAAATTTTAAATGATGGTAGTTGATTGGAATTGTATTAAGGATGTAAAGAAGTCTTTATAATTTATAAAAAATTTATTAAAAATTTCATTTATTCATATCTTTATAGGATGTGTGAAAGAAAATGACCTTGATATGAATTGAAGAAACAAAGTATTTGGAATTTGGAAATTCGACACGTAAGTAAATAGAACTTTAGTTAACTTATCAATAAAAGTTTTTTATTGAAATTGTTAAATTTTTATGTATGTTATTTTTATTAACAACTATGATAAATATTAGTTACTATGTTACTTAAATTATCTTATTTTTTTATATTATAGAATAATGTAAGTGGATAAGTCTTAATTAATTTATATATTTACAAATTTTCTCTTATCAAATATTATTTTTGACAATTTATAATTATTAATATATGTTTCTCTAATACTAATTATTATTGTTAATTAAATTGCTTTAGTTCTTGAAGTTGTCAAGATATATACTTACTCCCTCCGTTTAAAAATATAAGGCATTTTTTAAAGAGTTGAGTGTTTAAAAATATAAGGCATTTTTAGTCTTTTGAGGTGTAATTATTGCTTTTTTTTTAAAAGTGTTGTATTGATGAATAACTATATATTTATCATATGGTGTTTAATAGAGATAAATATAGAAAGATAGAGTTAGTTAAAAGTAGGTAATTACTTTATCGGGGGTGAGATTTGATTAAAAATGTCTTATATTTTTTAATGAAAGGAATATAAGATTGACGAAAATGCTTTTATAAATTCTAATATTTTTTATTCAATAAAGACAATCATGAAAATTGGTGAAGAAGTTTATGAAACGTTTGTTGTGAATTTTCATATTTAAAAAGATTGATGTTTTAAATAGTTCCTGCAAGTTTGATATTGAGAAGAGAAAATTTTATTTTAAAAGTAATGATTTTCTTGCATGTTTGAAAATGAATTTGAAG